CCCGCCTCTGCGCCGATGCCCGCCGGCTCCTGGCCCCTGCACACTCCCCAGCCCCCTTTGATGCCCAGGTGGGGCGAGGCGCGTCTTGGAGGTCCGGCAGTCCGCCCCCAGGACCCCCACGACTGCAGGAGCCAAGACAGACTTCTCTGCGGGGTGTACGGGCCTTGCCTGTGATCCTAGCTAGCTCCCTGGGAGCCTGAGGCAGGAGGGTCTCAAGTCCAGGCCCAACCAGGGCGACTTAGCAACTTAGTGAATCCCTCTCTCAAAATACCGAAAAAGAATGGTCTGGGGATGTAGCTCAGTGGCACTGTGCTTACCTCGCAAGTGCAAGGTGATGAGTTGGATTCCCAGTACTGAGGGAGAAACGTCAAAGGGTAGCCCAGTGTGAAGGGTCTGGATTCAATCCCTGGTACCACAAACGCGTGGGTCTTCCCTATTGCCAGTAACTACATTTTAAAAATCTAGGGCCCGGGATTTACCTCAGTGGTTCTGCTGCCTGTCTCGCAAGCACTAAGTTCTGAGTTTGATCCCCAGTACCAAAAAATAAATAAAAACCTGGCCTTATCCAGAGTAATAGTGAAGGCCTGTAATCACAGTGCTCTGAAAAGCTGGAGCAGGAGGATGTAAGTTCCAGCCCAGCAGCTTTGTGGGACTGTCTCAAGATAAGGGTGGGCTGGGGATTTAGCTTAGTGGTTCCACCACAAGTGCAAGGACCCGAGTTTGATACCCTGTATCAAAAAAGAGAGGTCCCAGGGGTGTAGCCCAGTGTGAAGGCCTTGGTACTAGCTGCACACCGATTCTCACAAATCCAATTCCTAGGCTGTGTCTCGGGGTTCCCTGGTACTCCCCCAGACCCAGTTAGCCACTGCTGCTCCTCCTGCATCCCTGGGGCAGCCATTAACCACCCCCACCCCCGTTCCAGGCCCCAGAACCCAGCAGCACTAGGGCAGGGACAGGGGTCTGACCCACCTGTCAGCATACCTGGTCTTCCCACATTGAGGGCTGTGTGGCACAGGACAGTGGAAGGCTTTGGGTTTAGAGCTTGGTGGACTGGGTTGATGCCCTCGGAAAGGAATGGGCCAGCTGTGACAGCCAGCCCAGGTCAAGAACCACTCCCAGCTGGCATCAACATTCGCTTGAGCGGGTGGACTGGTAGCTGAGGGAGATGCTGCTGTGTTCTAATGTTACGGAAGGAATTGGCAAGTGACAGAGAGGCAGCAGAATGGAAGTAAAATAAAAGTTTACTCCATCGATGAGGGTCAATGACACCTAATGGCGGTGCCCTGATCGACCCTCCCATTGGGTTACAACTTCTTTTACAGGGTTTTACAGCTTTGATCTCACTCAGTTAGTTACATTACATTTTTACAGCTCACATTGCTGATACCCAAAACATGATAGCAAGGCAGTTGAATTTCAGCCCGAATGCAGTTGTCAGGGAAGTTACCTTTAAGATTCATTCAATTACCTACTCTAGCCAGGGGGAAGGGAGCTTGTTTGATTAACAAAGCTAACTGGTTCTTTTCACTTACAAACTTTTGGGGGAAGACTAGGTGTCTCTGATGCCGTTAACTCAGAACTAAGCAGAGTGACGGCAGAAGTTATTTTACATTGTGACATTTCCAAAGTTTTCTCTATCACTATGACAGGTGTTAAGACTGAGTCTCAGGTGAAGTAGCAGGAACTAAAACCCAGCGATCTCCCTAGCCCCCCAAAACCACTGTTCAAAATGCCTCCATTTCCTGAAGGGTAGCACCTTCCTCAGGAAGGTGAGCAGTGGGCTTCCAACCACACAGTAGCTGCCTCACTTACCAGCAGGGTCCCAAAGAGCCCCTGCCAACCCCGTCAGGCATGTGGGTGCACACACACACACACACACACACACACACACACACACACACACACACGCATTCGAGAAAGCTGAGGCCCAGGACGACGGAGCCCATGAAAACACTCAGCTGCCATCAAATGATGCCCTTTATTGCTCCACATGGAAGTGAGACCAAGGCCACAGTGTAAGGAACCCCCGCCCCACCTGCAAAGACCCCAACCTTGTTATCAAAACAAGGAACACAACACAGTTCTGGGTTCAGGATGAACTGGGAGTGAGAAGCAGCTCTCAGGAATAAGATGGAAACACAAGACAACAGATACAAAAACGTCTGTGCCCGCGGGGATTCAGTCACGGCAAATGGAGTCTCAGGATGTGGCCCACTGGCCACACCTGCGGCTCTGCTGCAGGAACAGGCGCTGAGTCAGGACATCCAGGGCCGCTGGATGCGCTCCAGCAGGGACAGGCCACATCCTTCAGTTCAAGGAGGGCAGGGCCTGAGAGTCCCTGTGCTGAGCCAGGACCTGCAGGACCCTGCTTAGCGTCCAGCCCACTGTTCACAAGGCATAGAGGCCCACGGCCACTGTGGCCACCAGGAAGGTGAGGAGAGTCAGCACCCATGGCAGCAGTGGCACTGGTGAGTGGCTGGGGAGCTGGGCCTGGCTTTGGAGCGCCTCAGCTGGGCTGGAGTCTAGGAGCAAGAGAAGACAAGGTCAGCGAGCGCAGGCTGAGGCCCTGCATCTCTAACAACCGCTGCCCACAGGGCCTCCCCAGAAGGGTCTCGTGAGCCAAAGGGCCAGAGGAAACAGGCATGGAGATGATTCTTGGCACCCAGAGCCACCCATAGAAGGCTGCCTGCTTCTCATTTAGGTTTTTTTGTTTTCTGAGATAGGATCTCTCTAGTCTAGGCTGGCCTGGAATTCACTATGTGACTCAGGCTGTCCTCTACCTCATGGAAATCCTCCTGCCTCAGTCTCCCAAGGGCTGGGATTACAAGCTTCCTCCACCATGCCCAGCCCACTTCTCACTTAGAAACACTTTTACAGAAGGAGGGAACCCCAAACCCTCACCTTGCTCCTGACCACTGGCCCAGTGGTGGAGCCCTAGTGTCTGGGGAGCACTCTGGTCCTGGGGCTCGGGGGTCAGCAGCCCCTGCAGCTCCTCGAACAGCTGGAAGATGAGAGAGCACAGGCATCTGAGAAATGAGGGTCTGAGCACAGGGCCAAGTGCAGCTGTGGAAGGTTCTGGGAGCGACCCCACCGTGAGGAAGCACCCAGCACTCAGGGCGGCCCAGGACAGGGAGGCAGCCAGCAAGTGGTGCCTGCTCTGCCCAGTGCCACCTTCACCCCACCAGCCCAGGGAGCAAGAAGCAGTGCGAGCCTGTGTCACATCCGTGCTTGTGGCCCGTCCCAGCTTCCAGCACACTTGGGAGACACAGCCGGGCCAGGGGGCCACCCCTCCCACCCCCGCAGGCTGGAGAAGGCACGGCTTATGTCTGTGCCATCCACCTGGCAGGCTGGCCGCAGTCACCACAGCTGGGGAGGTGGGGAGCACGCTGGGCCTCACCTGGATGTTGAGCAGGAAGGCAGCCTTGGCCTCATCCAGCACCCTGCGCCGCACCTCGGGCGTCATCTCCAGGGAGTTCATGCGGGCGCGGTACAGCTGCTTGAACTTGGTGGCGTTGGGGATGCCAGGGAAGGTGAAGAAAGCCAGGCCTTCGCCGGAGCTGGGCAGCCCCAGGGCCTTCTGCGCGATCTTCTTGAGGACCTGGCCACCTGACAGGTCGCCCAAGTAGCGGGTGTAGGTGTGGGCCACCAGCAGCTCGGGCTCCCTGCGCCCCACCTCCTGGATCCGCTGCACGTAGCGAGTGGTGGCTGCTGAGCAGGAGATGGCGTGGCGCCAACGCGGCCCGTACCAGAAGGCCATGTCCTGCTCCAGTGCCGTGCGCCGGTGCAGCTCCTCAGGGAAGTAGACGGGTGCGAAGACTGGGCTGTCCCTGACGCGCTCGATCTCCTCCTCCAGCGCCATGTAGACGTGGTACAGCGAGGCCATCACCAGCTGCAGGGGCGCCACAGGGTCAGGCACAGCACCCAGCGGGCCCCATCCCCGGCACAGCAGCAGGATTTCCCAGCGGAGAGCTCGGTCCTGCACCTTCTCAGCCTAACACAGTCAACAACTCCCTCGTTCCGGCACAGGCCAGCTCAGGAGGGTCCCAGTCCCACTTCCCCGGGAGGGAACTTGCGGCTGCACAGCAGGGAAGAGGTGAACCAGCCCAGGGGCAGCCCCTTCGGGGCTTAGCTCGGGCCTCCACCCTGCTGCGGCCTGGGTGCTGGACAAAGTCGAAGTCACACATTCCAGTCCGGGTAGGCCCACGTTAGTCTGCCACTCACAGAAGGCATATCCCTTGAGGGCAGAGGGTAAGAAGCTGACAGGGCCACCCTCTACTGTGTGGCTGTAGGTGAGTCACTGCGCTCTCTGGTCTAAGGGGAGATGAAGCCTTCTCCCCTGGGCTGGCATGGCTGAGGGCAGCAGTCCCACCCAGCTCAGGACGGAGGCCAGCACAACACTCCTATGGGAGCCAGAGGGGACTTGGAGAGCAGCCCCCAGCTGCTGTGAAACCCCCAAGGCTGGCGGCAGCGTCGGGCGGGGGTGTGGTGGCAGGAGGAGTACTTGGCCCCCACCAGCCCCTGCCTGGTTCTGCCACACAGCCTTTTTGTGAGTTTCACAACTGCAGGAGAACAGAGAATCGGTGCCCAGCACGTGCTGCTGTGGGGGCAGAGGTCCCCGCCTCCCTGTGTGCCAGAGAAGCCCTGCTGGCCACCCCAAGCTGCCCTCATGGCACTCGGATCGGGGCAGGGGCACAGCTGTCCTGTCTGGCCTTCGTCATGCTGAGCAAGCCCCTGGCTCCCACCCCACAGCGTTCACCAGCACCACCTTGAAGCCCTCTCCGGTCACTTGGCCCTTCTGAAAGTTCCGCATGAACTCAGTGTTCTCCGCCTGGGTGTGGACCTCCTTGGTGGCCTCCTTAATGGCCTCAGACAGGTCCTGGGCTGTCCTGTGTGGAGAGGCGGGGTCAGCAAGGGGGTGGTTGGGGGTGCGGTGCCCACCTCCAAACCTGAAAGGTGGAGGGACCCCAGGTTCCACCCCGGGCTTTGCACAAACAGCACCAACAAACAAGCCAGGGGACATCCCTGTCCCGAGTGCAGGAGAGGGAGACACACAGGGCACACGCATCCAGAGCGCCACTAGGTCCTCTGCCCTGAGCTGATCCCCAACTCTTCTCATTCCTTTGGGACATGGTCTTGAGAAGCTGCCCAGGCTGGACTCAAACCTGCCATTCTCCTGCCTCAGCCTCCCAGCACTGGGACTACAAGTGTGCGCCACCAGACCAAACTTTGATTTAACTCATTTCTTCTGTTGATGTCTCAGATACAAACCTCATGACCCCAGGTTTATGCTTGTTTTTTGCATTAAAAAGCCCCCCCAAAAGATCCCAATGATAAATGTAACTACTGTATATCTAAAAAGTACCAATAAACTCAATGAAAAAAACCGAATAAATAAAAGTGCCCCCCCATTCTGCGGTAGCCTAGGAAGAATAGTCCCCCTTTGGGAGAATTTCCGCCAGGAAATGTCACCTCCGCCTGCTGGCCGAGCCCCTCCGCAGCGACAGCATTGTTGGGGGCAGGGAAGGATCGGGCCAGGCCGGCGCTGACACCTGCCGGCCAGCAGCCCTGGGCACTGTGGGCCCGGGTCGGGAGACGGGACATCTGCCTGGTCTGCAGGTCGCAGAG